AGATCGTTCTATCGTTAATAATAAGATTTATAATTTATAATTTAAGAATAAAAAATATGATTTTATACCCCTGGTGGGACTCGAACCCACAATCCCCGGTTTAGGAGACCGATGCCTTATCCATTAGGCCACAGGGGCGATTGTGGGTTCAGCGTTCTAATATGCAATTCATGATTTAGCCGTTAATCTATGTAGATAATGATTATTCTAAGATGCATAAGAAGTTATTTTCAAATCTAATAATTATTAATTCGAAATATTATTTAATTTTATCTAACAATCTTATGTTGTCACATTATTCTCTGCTAATGAGTATATAGGTCTCACCCCTCCTTCTTTAATATTAATTTTTCTAATATGGTAAAATTTTTGGAAATACATTTATTCTGCACTAAAACATTAATTATTAAATTGATATTAAGAAAATTAATAGAGCTCATGAATCTATTTCATTTAGTGATAATAAAATATTAACTTAAGAGATAATATTTTTTGAGAAATAAATACTAAAATGGATGAATTATGTACACAAAATTTTAAGTTCTTAAAAAATTTGTTATCTCTAAAAATGCATAAAATTATATAAAATCAGATTATCCTTAATAACAATGATTATCTTAATAGCGCCAATAGTTTCTTTTCCATGATGAGACTATTTTCGAACTCATTGTTCGCGCAAATTGAAATTTGTAATCTTGAAAGATCGTGGTTAATTCGGAGTTGCGTGTATAAATATCCATATGCAAATACATGCAGACGAAACTGCCGCTTCGTGAGCAAAACTGCTATCTGATTTCAATTTCCTTCAGTAATCTTGGCGCCACCATGACTTGCCATAAATGTGATGATCGGTAATCATCGTCCGTATTCGTTACATTACACACCGATGGCCAGGCATGTGCGTGTATTTGGTGGCCAGGTAAATGCGGTAAACGATATCAACGCTTTTAACATCCGCACACATAATTCGAAGTTTCGAAAATTCAATATATTCATGGATTTAGTTCGAGATAAAATTACTATATTTTTTCACAAATCCAGAGAATGTAAAAGATACATTGTCTCCAAGATAATTAAAAAATTTATAAATGCATATAAATTTTTTAATTATATGCATATAAGTATATGCATTTATAAGTAAATATCTTGATATGATATAAATTATATATCACGCTAACTTATATGTGAAAAGATGCATATATATATTAGGTGTTGGAATTAATTCGTAGCGTTTTTAATGAAAGAATGTTATTTATTTCACATGAGCATTAAAAAATACATTAATGAAAGTACTTCCCATCACTTGTAAAACGCTACGAATTAATTCCAACACCTAATATATATATATATATATATGTGTGTGTGTGTGTGTGTGTGTATTTATTTATTACACTTAAAAGTTGCTATATAAAAAAATTAATGAACATTACGATAAATTAATATTTTCTTCGCAATTGCTTTTCTTTAAAGATGTATACATTCTTGGAAACAAATTAAAAATTGAGTAACAATTATTTCAATACTTTAAAAACTATGGAAATAATATTGCATGTTCGTGAAGATTATACTAATTTAAAGTCCGCGAGATTCTTCCCGATGGGTAATGCAAACATGTCGAAATACGTTCCCGTGATAATCTTAATTTTACGCATACCGCGTAAGAATATATTTACGTGTACGAAGTATGAGTGCACATGCACATGCATCATCAATGCCCGAATATTAACACTTCAAGTAGCTCATTATTCAAATTGGACTTCACGAATTTGTATCACCACTTCAGATTACAACGTAAATAATAGCGTTGCGTGGCAAGCGTAAGAAGTGTGAACTGAAAATACTTTATTACGGAAATAATTTGGACTTTGATATTAAACACTTATTATTGCAATCAATTTATGTATAGGATATAAAAGTAATTAATTTTTTACATAATGTAATAAACAATGTGTATTACATATATGCAAAAGAGATATAATAATGTTTAGAACTTTAAATTTTAAGAGACAAAACAAGAAGAAAAATTTCATCTTATTTTATATTATATTTTTTTTTAATTTTTTTTTAATCTCTGTTATCATCACATAAACAAATTTTTGATAATCTAAATTATCTCGATCTAGATATTGTTCTAATATTATAAAATCGTCTTACTTTATCTCGCACATCGCCTGACCGCCGTGTAGAACCCAAGAAAAAGCGTAATGCTTCAAGGTCTACCGCATTTTCTCTTCTCTCTCATGATGACGCCTCCGTTTAACACCCATCCACAAAAATCGACAGCCGGCGTCCGTTTCTCTCGCGCGAGTCTCGGACAGTGATGCCTATCGTCGTCGCTCCTCACTATCGATTTTAAGCTGAGAAACGAGGCGAAACAAGTTCGAAGAAATTGTTTCTACGCGGCCGCGTCGCGTGCTTCTTTATTGAAAACTATAAGCAGCTGCGGGGAAAGAGAGGAGGAGGAGATGCGAAAGGGATAGATCTAGGTGAGAACTAGAGAGAGGAGAGAGGTTCAACGGGGCCTTAATCACCGTGATGCCCGCTGGATATTGGCGAAAAAGGAAGAGAAGAAGGGAGGTCCGGGAGGACGAAAAGAAGTGGCCTGGTCTCTCTGCACTTAGCATAATGTTCACCACGCCTGTCATTACTCTCGACACCGCGAACATGCCAGCCTAACACCCTGCGTGGTCCTGTGTCCGGGTAGACACGCGAGGACGTGCCGGTATATGCGTTAGTAAGGTTCATATTATGGTGAGAGCATGAACGTAAGGATGTTCGGAATATTAATCGGGTGCGATTATACTTAAACTAACTAAAACAACTATGTTTTTCTTTTGCACTCATTCTCGTCGTTGCGTCTTATTTCCGCGCCGAAAAACATCTTGTTAGAAAGGAAAACACATTTGCGAGGTATCGTTCCGAAAAGGTTATCAAAATACGATGGTCTCAGATGTATCAAAAGGTGACGATATTGATTAATTGGCCAGGTGTAATTTTCAAAAAATTATTTTAGGATACATAAACAAAGCGAGAGGAGATTTGATGGGAGGTCGCGAAATCTACTATTATCTCCGCTCATCATATTTAACCTGAGAGAAAGAATTTAATTATGGAAATCAAATGCATGAATTGCAATACATTATACATATATTATATGAAAAAAACGATTTTGTTTAAAATATCTATAATTTAACTATAATTTAACTAGATACACAGATCTAAAAATAATTTTGTGAGACCATCAAAATAATTATATAGAAAACTTAAGCGCGATGGCAATGCTGCAATTTTTTATATATTTTAGTCTGAGTTTCTAATAAAATTATTTTGATGTAAGTACAACAAAACAATTTTTCAGCATTATTCTTGAATTACAAATTTATTCTAAAATAATTTATCACATTATATATCTATATTTTTTATAATTTTAAAGCGAGATATAATTCATGTGAGCAATTCGCCGAATGATTTTTAGATTTGCGAGACAGATTATCGCGCAGATAACGCAAAAATGGTGCTATTACGAATGCAAGCCAGTAGGTAGGTGCATTTTTTATCACAATGAGGTGATTTATTTGTAGAAACAACCTCGCGAAAGAACATCTGATCCACGCGAAAAGATATCTGGTTACGATGGTACTTATGGAAATGTGCATCGAATGACAAATATAGCTTGCCGAATTTGCCGCGAAATATTTACAACTGCCTGTAAAAATCATTAAAAGAGAAAGAGAAATTTGAAACGCGGTATTTCTAAAAATTTAAAGAGATATTTTTAGAAATTAATAAATCTAAAAAAGCAAATACAAATGTTGCAAACGTTTTATTATACGAAATATTGAAAACTTATTCAACACGATATATTCAATCATCTCCTTTGGCTTTTTAATAGTTTCTTTTAATAATTTCTTAATTAAATATTCTCCAGCATTAATCACTAATAATGAAACCTCCAAATCATTCCTTCATCATTATTGAAAATTAAAGAATACAATATTTTTATTATTTTATTAACGAATGTACCTAATAATTTCCACAAGAAACTGAAATATTCTAATTATCTATAATATCAAACGTATTTTTTCGTTAGAAATTCGCGATTTATCTATCAAATCCATTTACTCCGCGATATTGAGAACCTATGACCGATCTCGACATTTCAATTGTCATTTGCACAATGAATAGTTGCAAAAATACGAAGGCTAAGAAAGTATAATTTAAAAGATCATCTTATACGGAAGCTCAAGCTGGTGCATCGATCAACAATGCGCCATTACTCGCGAATAAATAAAAGCCGCAATCTCGTACATGTGAAGTAGCGAACGATAATTTAAATCGACAAGGAGCGAAGTTGTTCCGATGGCTCCTTGGAGCACGATGCGTTCCCGGTGATTTGATGCTTCCTGAGCTGAACGATTTAATCTGGCCGGATGAGGTCGCAGATTCACGTTATGTAAAAGCATATCGTTTGGCACTTAACTGCAGCTTACATGGTAATGTGTTGGGCGTACACATCGATACACATATAGCTAACTAAAGGCGAATTACGTGTACTTTGAATAAATGCCTCTGAATAATGTAAAATTTTTATACATATGTACAAAAAGTAAAGAACTGATAAAATTTCCGATTTCTAAAAATAAAATGCCAACTTCACAAAGACAAATAGCATTCACTAAAATTTGAGCTCTACTTTCGTAATGCACTCGTTCTTACAATAGATACAACTTTTTCAATACTTATATCAATTTATTTTTATTAAAAAATGTATACATCATTTTAAACCTTGTCTTTATGATGCAACATTAAACTGATTCACTATTTTAAAAAGTACGATTAAAAAATCAAAACAACTCGATTATAAAAAATGGAAGTAGATATTTGGAGTGATATTTTTATATGAATCAGAACGATAAGAAAAAAATTTTTAAGAAGTGACTATTAAATATAAGAAAAAAATTATTAAATATGATTTCAATGATCATAATTTATTTTTGTAGAAAGAAGATGACTTGCACAAAGCGGTAAAATTAACTACGAGAGAAAGGAGATTTATAAAATTTGCATCGGTGGCGTACGATGGTCAATTGTATATGACACCGCAGGATTTTCTTGACAGCGTCATTGATGCCGAACCTCGACGTACGTAACTCACATTTATTTAATATCTATTTTAATCTTTGCAACAATAATTATTCAAACGTGTGATATTCGATTAGAATAATGAATTAAAATTACATCATTTCAACTTCAATAATATAAAATTAAAAAATAAAGAAATGCACAGTTTTATGATAATTTAATAGAATTTCAAGTTCTTATTGTTTATTATTCTCTTCAAATCTTTCGTCGCAAATTTATTTTACTTTATTCAAAGGATAAAGTAAAGCTTCGGTTTTTATATCATTGAATATGTTTCTGTCGTTCTTTAATATATGTTTTTGGCGCAAAAATATTAAAGCGTTACGATCATTTATGCATTTCAATAAATCTCTCTCAATGCGACACATACAACTTTAATGATATTTTCAGCGAGATTAAAGAGACGCGTTCTGACCGATCAAGAGCTCGAAGTGATGAGAAATTCGACTTCTTCACTACGCCATGGAAACACACATATGTTTCGAAATTTGCGGGACAAAGGTAAAGATATAAAATGAAGAATCATATGATATTTATAAGAGAGAAAAATTAATATTGTTTCTAAGTAACAACTAAATAATAATAGAAATAATCATCACAGATGACGATTAGAATATCAGATAAAATATGTATATAAAAGGCAATTGAATTGAATAAGAATAATATTGCATATTCGTGCGTTTATAACGCCAATAAATAAAAACCTCATAATTCGAGTTACCGGAAAATCTACGATTGATAAGTCTCCAAAAATTTAAGTACGAACTTGAAGTGTCGCAGTCCGCATCTCGGAGCTTTCTACCGAAGTATGCAATTCGACAAGAAAAACGAGATGCGCGATAACCAGAGCTATTGATTGCAATCGACGTGTACAGTATCTGTACTTACGACATTTATAGTGCTTATCCGACATAAGTTTCCGCCACCCACGTGAAACACTCGTCACGACAGACAGGGCTGTATCATTAATTTAATGACGCGACAGTATTTCTCACGATGGCTGCGTTTTCTCCTTGCTCTTTGCGCGTGCACCGCACGTTCGTCGCGCTAATGGAAATGCAAATAATCGACAGACATAAGGGATGTCACGATGGAGGAGAGGAGGGCAGCCAGTTTCACACCTTTCTTCAATAATAACGAGTTCCTCGTCCCTGTGCCTGCCGCCACAACTGCGTTTCTCGTCTTTTTCTTTCCCTTTTCGCGTGAATGCGAGGCGGAATTAACCGGCGCAGATAAACGAGTCCGCTTTTAAGGACACTCGGTAGAGTCTGAGGCCGTTACAATTAAGAACAACTTAAGAAGATTGGACCCTATCGACAAGAAACTACTGTAACGACTGGAATGGCGTCATTGTCATCTCATGTAACGATATATCTGAGCATTCATTAATTCAGGCGATCGTAATCGTATATTTAGTTGTTACACTTCCTTATTGTGTTAACGACACGCGCTGCTTTTTGCAACATTACGATAGTTATTTCCTTGATCACTTTGAGCTAAATCTCATTCTCTAAAAATTACGAGTACCGTAAATTAACTTTTCTTAAATAATATACGTATATTCATGACTGATAACAAATTCAAGTTTCATTTATTTAATTTAAAAATTAGACGACATATATATATATATATATATATATATATGTCGTCTGATATATATATTTATGAATATTTGTCATTATATGATGTAAAAGATATTTTTAGATATGAAAACAAGTATCATCAATAGGTACATATTTAGCCAGTTAAATTTGCTTTAATACTTATATTAATCTAAATTTCTGACAATGAACGATATTTAATATTAACAAAATAAAATAACAGATTTATATACATGGAACATCATCGAATCAATAAACTAACTCTGATTTCTTTACTTTGACTATTAATTTTCTAACAACGGAATTATTTTCTGCTTTCGAAGTCACGAATTTTATAAGGTGGCTACGATCTGTAAAGTAGCCTTCTTGTTATGTTACATACGAGCTAAACTATGCCGCAAGGGAGTACGTTTAAAATCAGAATTTAGGTGCGTCCGCGGGTCTCGCTTTTGCTATTAAATTCTAAATTATTGATCCTCCCCAAAGGCGATGGTTCTCTCAAAGAATACCTGAAATCTCGTGAGGCGTGTCTAACGTGTTTGACATATTCTACTTCTAGATGTCGTAAACGCGTTTAATACTGCAGACCTCTCGTTATCCTTAAATGCGGATTAGCGCGGGAAAATTAGGAAGAATTCGACGAAATTACGAGAATTTATGAGACATCGAGATAAAATCATGTGGAATATAACGATTTGCCTTTCGACTCGTCTAGATTTTTATAACGTCTCGATCTAGTATTACGGGAAAAATATCTAATCATGAAATTAAATATAGAATTTGTTATTAATTCGATATAAATATACACTATTTAAAAAGACAATAAGTACCATTTCTGCAAAATTAATATTGACGTGTGCGCGAAATATACGAAATCACTTGATGCGACAATAAAAATTTTTTATAATTTTAAAAGTAAGGATAAAATTGACAATCTCCTTTATTTCTAATTTATGAATAATATAATATATAAAATATTAATATATGAAATAATATGTAATGAAATATCAAATAATAAATACAATACACAGTTATTTTAACTAAACGTAAAATTTTTTAATAGCTTGCTAAATCACATCGTTTCACGATTCTAAATTGCTTGTGCTTTTACTTTCAGGAATTATTTCTTACACGGAGTACCTGTTTCTTCTATCCATCCTGACGAGTAAGTTTTCCGCTGGTAGCTTTAGATATATTCACAAGGCAAATTGCGAGTTAAATGCACAAAATGTTATGGAAGAAAAAATCAGCTAATGTGATGCCATGTTCATCTTTTTCACATAAAAGCAATGACCGTTATCCGCTTACATACTTGGGAAGCTGTAATCTACACAGCACGTTCAATTTATTTAATGTACTCGGCACAAATCATTGTGTGACAATTTTAATAGTACTCGAAACATACATATTAAATAATAGTGTACATTCTTACATAAAAGCATTACTACTCAGAATTCACAAAATATATTGTCCTATATTTTGGTCACGCTTTGTTTTATCCGCAAATTTTTTGACAAATTTGGAATAAATTTGCCTTCAACAAAAATTAAATCACATATTTTTCAAAAACTTACGATATTTACATACATAATTAATTTTAGAGAGACAATTTTAGGATTAAATAAAATAAATGTTATTTAATAGAATGAAAACATTGAACATTATTCATGTGCAGCCTGAATATTTAATTATTCCAATTTGTATTCAATTATGATTTAAACTTTTTAATGCGTTAATAATTTTTTTTTATTTATTATTTTTTATTTAAAAATCTCACAAATTGTTCAAAAGAATTCTTAGATAAAAATGTATTACGTTTTATCTAGAAAGCTGTATATGTGCACACACATTTCGTGCACAAAAAGTTTAAAATTTGTTAGATATAAATATCATTCGCTATAAAAATGTTTTGTTAATGTTGAGCACCTTAATTTAATGCTATAAATTTACGGCGATAACTGATCTCATTACAGAGCCAAAAACTGGTTTCCAAATCGCCTTCAATATGTTCGATACCGATGGAAACGAGAGAGTCGACAAAACTGAATTTCTTGTGGTAAGATAGTTGCATCGCATGCGAGCACGTTTTCAGTAATTGCTGATGCAAACACATCGTTAGAACTATTAATAAAAACTGTTTATTAATTATTTCTATTCTATTTTACAAAATAAAACTTAAATTTGCTTCTTTTTAATAGCAGCATAATAAGCATGAATATTTTTTTACAAGCTATTAAATCAATGTAGGATTTATTTCCGATGAGCAAAAATAAAATTATTTAAACAATAACATTGTACATTACATTCTGAATATATTTTTTTCATTAGCATTAATTGTTTGATTATATTTTATTTGCTATCTTTTCTTATTTAATAATATATATCTCAAACTAGAAACTCGATAGATTAGATTTAATATATATATATATATATATATTTGAAATATCATATAAATACATAAACACATTTAGGAATCAATACTGGATTAGTAGAAGAAAAATATATCCTCAAATATATATTTATCTTCAAATATTACGAATCTTTTTAAAACTGTAAAATGTGCAAAGTCATCGAATGGAATTTTACTGAACTCTAATTTATGTAAGCTAACTGGAATATTTAGAGGATGGATGTTTCAAGAAAAAACTCCTGTCATTACAAAACTGTTATATTAATTATCGATTAATTAGCATCAACAACTTTTGTTATTCTCACAGATTCGTCGTTTACTCGGCGGTAGCTTGAAAGAACGGGACCTTGACGAGTCAACAAAACGTGCAGTGAGTTTTAGAAAAGTTTCATAAAACTTTTCCTCAATCAGAACGATGTCAGAAGTCGACTGATGTTTAGAAAATCAATATAAGGATACCGTTATATCTCTTTCAGCTATGAAATCATCTGACGGCTGTATAATTTACTATTCCATTTACCGCCTTGAGCTATTTATCTTTTGAAGTCTTTTAAAAATATATTATATAATATATATATGCATATTTAACAATTACATTTTTGTATTTATTGTAAATATTGATTTCTTCAGAATACTTATATTACTAAGATAAAAAGTATCTTTTTTAAATCTTTTAATTTAATGAAGTTTTGGAATGTTACATTTCAAAGAAAAATGTATCATATGTTAATTAATATACATATGTATTATATTTTTAAAATTTGTTTAATATTTACCATCATTTATAATTACTATTTTTTATTGTAAAGTATATCTTTTGCTATAATTTCAATTAACTTTTTTATTAGGTGTTGGAATTAATTCGTAGCGTTTTTTAATGAAAGAATGTTATTTATTTCACATGAGCATTAAAAAATACATTAATGAAAGTACTTCCCATCACTTGTAAAACGCTACGAATTAATTCCAACACCTAATAATTTCATAATGCAGTTTTTCTGATCAAAGCTAATGCTTCTTTTATTTATTTTAACAAATTAGTTACGTGCTATAATTACTCCGAGCGAAGAGAATCTAGGCAAGGCAAAACTTCGCAAAACTCATCCGAATAAATCAAATGAAATCGTCACAAATTCTTATGTAAGTTTGCAAACATGTAAAATGCTGTAAACCAATACATGTTATGTTTAATATTCATCTAACAAATTATTTCTTTTTGCAAAATATTTTTTATTTAATATTTAATATTTTAATTTTAATATTGTACTTTCTAATACTTCCTATATGTTATATCTTTACGTTTATATTATTTCATATAAAATAACAACATAAATTGTATAAAATAACTTCACATCTTATCAATAACGTCAAATTTATTAGAACCATTTAATAAACTAATTGCAATCTATGTTATATTATCACCATATACAAATTTTTAATTATTTTAAGATATAAACAATATATTTAAAATATATGTATATTAATCTATCTTTATGGGTATACACGCAGATCCAGTACAGTCAAATGTATATACAATCATCATCACTAATCTGTTTCAAATTTTACTAATATTCATATTCGATCATTAATATGCAGCTTATCAGTTCCATCGAAAATATCTGTGCTCTAATATGTCAATAATCGCTCCTCTAACATTATTTGACACTTATTTCAGATATACTAACACTGGACGCTGGAATACTGCCATCATTTTACCTTTGTATCATGTAATCCCGGCATATGTGTCTATTAGTAAAAAGTGTGTTAACATCACGTCAATCTGTCGCAATAGTAATTGTTTTCTTTCACACTTTCATCTTTGGTACAGATGGAGAAGATATTCAGTCACGCTTGGAGGGGCCGTCATGGATGTGAAACTAAAGAGGAATTAGAACAATTACAGAAACGTCAGGGAACGCCAGAAGAAATTCAAGGTCAATTCATCGATGACGATCAGGTATTATTTATGCAATATTTTTAAATAAGATGAAGTAAGAAGTTAGAATAAATAAAAATTAGTAACAGAATCCATTAATCTCGCTAGAAAAAAATCAACAATGACCAATGTTTAAATAATCTAACGAAAACGTCAATTAATTTCTGTAATAAAAAGATCTAAGGCTTTCATTTAATTTTTATAATAAATGTATCCAGATAGATAATTATATTTAAGTTAACAGGAGTTTTTGATATGAGTATTTATTTTAATGTTTACTTTGTATATACACAGGGTTTGCAACGACGTCACGCTGTGGATACTACTTTGATGATACACTTTTTTGGCAAAGATGGTACCAATGAATTAAGATACGATGATTTCAAGCACTTCATGGAGAACTTACAACATGAAGTATTAGAATTGGAATTCCACGAATTCAGCAAGGGACACAACACAATTAACGAATTGGATTTCGCTAAAATATTGTTACGATACACGTATCTCGAACCTAATGAGTAAGTTGAATAAAAGCTATGTTCTCAATAATATTTTAATAATCATGAGAAACGATGAACTATTAACATTTTAAAAATTATGAAGATATAAGCAAATCATATATTTTATTATACATACATATGTATTTTATTATAAACTGTCTTATGTATTTTTGTTTTGAATTGAACCAAGATAAGTGGCATCCAAATTTTTCAATTCACATCCTAAATGTATTTCCTAATTAATTTAAAAGTTAGAAGCAATTAAATTCACAGATACGATAAGTACTTGGACAGAATGTTGGATCGTGCAGACTTGCATATTGGTATCACATTCGAGGAATTCCGACGTTTCTATCAATTTCTGAACAATCTGGATGATTTTTCGATAGCAATGCGAATGTATACATTGGCTGATCATCCTATATCCAAAGGTAAAGAATTAATAATAAAAATCTTAATCAATACCAATTTATTATACGTCAAAATATTCATTGCAATATTAAATTAACCGATTTTATTTCCCTTAAATGTAAATTATTTCAAATGTAATGACCTTTTGTTACATTTTTTTAAATTGTCCCTTTTTCTAGATGAATTTCAACGGGCAGTAAAGATATGTACAGGAACGATGCTTTCAACTCACATAATCGATACAGTCTTCGCACTATTCGATGTGGATGGAGACGGCCAATTATCTTATAAAGAATTCATAGCAATTATGAAAGATCGATTGCACAGAGGTTTTAAGGTAAGGCGGATTTATACATTGGAAATATACAAATAGTATCTCTCTTTTGAAGAACTACTTTAGAAGATGTGTATATCTCGTATGAAATGAAGCCGTTAAAATAATGCTTGCTACAAAATAGAAGAGACCTGTACAAATGGTTGTCATTTCTCAGGCTCACATACTATAATATTTTCAGACAATTTATAGAATGTAATAGAAATGTAGCAATTACTGTTGATTAATGCAAAATAACTCGATCTTTTGTAGTCTCAACAACGCAATGAGGGTTGGGAGGCCTTCAAATTCTGCGTGAAACAAGAAATGAAAGCACCTTGAAGAAAGAATCATGACGAAATACATAAAAATGCGAAGATGCAAATGAAAACAATAGCACTCACTTTATATTATGTAAAAAGTTATAATACTCTTGAATACTAGTAATAATTATAGTAGTTACTATTAGTAACTATAGTATGTAATAATTGTTTCAAATAATTCGAGTTATAATATTTGGATATATTTATAGTCCTAACAACAAACATATAAGATGTATAAAAAATGAATATGTACACTGAGAAACCCATTTAGTTGAATCAATTAATTTCTTGTTTGGATATGAGCAAACAAATCCTTAGTTGATGCAATAAAATAATTTAGTTGATGCAATAAAATAATTTAGTTGAAGCCAAATATTTGGCTTATTGTAATTAATTTTATCAGATGTCAATGTTTATCAGGAACAAGTGTTAAACAATAACCAAATGCTTTGCTTCAATTAAATTATTTGATTGCATTAATTAATTTCTTGTTTATACGGGCAAACAAATCCTTAATCGGTTCAATTAAATGGGTTTCTCAGTGTAGAAAAAATTCAATTATGTGATATAATTTATATAAGCAACGAAGAAAAACATTTTTCGGCGAAAAACGTGTGAATCTCTGTTAGAACATAAATATTGATATATAATTTGAAGTCACCTAAGTAATTAAGAATTTGGATTATATTTTTTTTTGCATATAATGCTGACATCATTATGTACTAATCCGTTTTATTAAATTAATAATGATTTATGAATTCGAGAATGATATATTTTAAACAGTTAATTTAAAAAGTTCTTACAAAACATGAAAATCTGCATAGCAATTAATTTGCTTATGGAAATTAAAGAAATATATTTTTTAATCTAATCTTTTATCTTAATTAAATATTTATTTTGTTTATAGAAACGTTTTGTTACATTAAATAATTATATATATATAATTACTTTTAGTATTAATTATTAAAAGTCATAAAATAATTTTGCAATTTTAAATGAGTTAAAAACAAATATTAGTATTTCTACAAATATCTCAAAGAATATAACACAAAAATCGAAATTAATCAAATTATTAGAACGTATAAAATAGGGAATAAATCCTGCACATTTGATTCTCGGAATGGATTGTTATATGGTAAACATATGGAGAGGCTCGCTAATATCTTATGCAACCTCAAGAAAAAAAAATGTTAGTTAAACAAGAGTAAATTTTTTTCCTTGTTCATAAAACATATAAATAGCACACAAATTAAGAATCCTTTCGTGTTCTTACTTTCATGTTACAAAATGCAATTCATCCTACATGCGATGGTCTAATTTTATGTTTGTGCTGCCGACTGCGCGTCGCAATTGTTCGTTATCAGTCATCGCACCGATTGTACCGGTACCGGTATGCTCTCGTGAACCAACCCGACAAAAAAAGGCGTGCCAAGGCGCAGACTCGGAACGCGATATCAGACCACTTCGTTACGCACGGAGATTCCGTACAAAGCCGGCTAGTTTCAGAATTGTGTAATTACCATCTAAGAATTCAGCTTTTCAGCAGTCTTAAATTATCACGAAAATACCATGTAATTACACAAAATTCTTTTGTCAGCTAAATGTTCCTATTCATAATGATTAAAATATTTTTATTATCACACAGTATTAATTATTTAATATAGGTTTGTAATCATTTTTCGAGATTTCATAAATAAAAGTAAAAATACCATAACAATACCAAAATACATTATTTTATGTACAAGATGTCCCATTACAGCTATAAATTCATAAATAAATCTGGATATAATTCAATTTTTTTAAATATTTAGAGTGGTAACGCAATTTTTATATACATATATGGAAAGAATGGTTTTGTTAAGGTATTTAAAAATTTAGCTAGATAAAAATGTGAATTAGAAAATAACTTTATTGAAACATCAAAATAATTATGTAGAACACTTAAACGTTAATAATACTGCAAAAAGTTATAACATTCTAGCAACTAGTTTAAACGTCTTATACATCATAATTGTTTTGATGTCCAAATAGAATTATTTTCAGATCTGTATCTACTTAAATTTTTAGATCCTTTAATAAAACTGTCCTTCACGTGAATATTAAAAAATTAACTTCTTTCTGATTATGAATGTTTCTGTAGATGCTTGAATAAATCAGATTTTCCAACTTAAAATCAGTACTTTAATACTTCCTTTTGTTTATCGCTGTTTTTTGGCATAGTGATCAATCAGTCAATCTGCTATAGGATGAAAGAACGGAGTGGGAATGATTGGCGAACGTGCCTAAAACTACGCCCATCGCAACTATCAGAATTGAAGTATCGTCAGTACATATTACCACCGCAGTTTCGCAGTTCGTGAGGAGGGAGAGGATCGCGCGCGGCATTCTCGTGCATGTTTCAGTCGAGTTTCGTAGTGCTCATCAGCACTACGCAACGTCAATCAACCTGTCGAAGTTTAGCAGTGCGGAACCACATGTAATATGGGTGTATGCAAGATAGTTAAATGGTTTAAGTAAGTTGTTATTCATATTAAATTGAAAATGCAAGAAGAAAGTGCCAAAAAGTGTTGGAAAAAATGTTGATGGAAACAAAGAAAATGTATTACAATTCCAAAAATGGATTCAAATCAAATGCATGGAGAACATCAAACATTTTCCAAGTTTGATGTTCTCCATGCATTTGATTTGAATCCATTTTTCAACTTATTAAAATTATGATAATTGCTTGAGTTTTTAATTACATGGGCTGCTTTACATCTCAATTCACTTTCGGCACTTCCGTTTTCAATTATTTATTGTAGAATTAGATATTTATTCGCTGAAGTTATGCTTTGTTTATAACAATATCTAGAGCAAAATCGATTGCCACAACAAAACGTATTGTGTTCTGATGATCCTATCAGTAGCAATATGCCATTATAGATACCAAAATAGATTAAGAATACAAGATTCCTATGAATGATATATATAGCGATGTAAACTTATATTATTAAGATATCGTAATTCATTACAAAAAAAATTAAATTTTTTAAAATTTATCACATTTTTAACGCATCAAATTAAACTTTTGACATCTATTTATTTTCTCTTTTATTGTATTGTGCAATTTAAAAAAAAACTAATGTACTTTGCTTTAAATATTCTGAATATTTGTTATACCATTTCCATCACTATCTTCATATATTTTAAAAGAGAGAGTAATTTTCTAATTTAAGAAAATAGTATCTAACTTGTATCGACGTATGCTCGATATAAGGTGAAGGTCGCCGATACTGATATCAAATAAACTGATAAAAGCACCAAATAATTAATTAGAATTTATTAAATATAATTAATTATTAAATATCGCTAGTATCTATACACTAAAAAATAATTTGGCATCCACAGTTATTTCTTTTGTTACCTACTATGCATTTAATTTTTCTACAAAATATAAAAAGAAGCACATGACAATCTCTATATAAAACGAATAGAATCATCAGATACCTAACAAATTAAACTCAAAATATCTTTTGCAAAAAAAATACTCTCGTATATATCATTTACTTTTTTATATCTATCAAAACAATTTGTTCCTATTACAATTAATTTTGTATGTTTTGCGAAAAATCCTTTATTAGACGCTTAGTCTCTTTCAGAAATGAATTCAGGAAATATTTCTCTGAAAAATATAGTGGCAATATGAACTGAATTTATAGCCCCTATTCAAGCTCGATATCTACGAGCGTTATCGAACGAAAGAGAAATGCATCGCGATAATCGTGATAGATATCTCAATTCAAATTTACATAAAGATAATTGAGTGATATCAGCAGTTCGCTCAATCGATGCTGTACCTGCATGAGAAAGAAAGACGTGTATTGAATACGATATGAGAAACATAAGCGGAAGAACATGTGCGCGCGCGGGAGAGATTCTACGATTTGCACTTCCGCATGAGTTTCTCTTCTCCGTAGCGCAACATCTTGATTGCTTTCCGTCTCGTGAAAATGTTCCGAAAAATTCGAGCGTATCGAAGACACAGGCTAATTACGGTCGAAAGAATAGCGGATGGGCCCCCTGTGGATTTAGGCAATGGAGACTGTACCGTTAACAAGACATTTTAACCGACCGTGTACTCGCAGCTCATAATGACTACTATTATCTCTTCGTCGAGCGGCGCGAGATTGTGCGACCGTACTTAGTCCGTACCGCTATAAAATTGCACTGTTGGTATTTAAAGCCGCGAATTGTGCCAGCGACAAGTAAAAAGAAACAGCCATTATCTTATTGAGCGAGGGTAACAAAGAAAGCCGTGAAGTTTGTGAATCTAGAAGTGATGAAAAACTTTATCTAAACCGGGACAAATGCAATCTTGTATAAACTGTCCTAGAACTGACTGATCTTGACTTTAATACTATAATCTTGTGCAAATTAATGTGAATAAAAGGTAATTTTTAGAAATTTATATACATTTATATCCATTTATTTATAAAAAGGATTTACAATATTTATTTGAACATATTAATATTTTTGAACATATTAAATACTAAAAAAATATTGTAATATACACTTGTTAATCTTTTTTACGTAATAAAAGTACATAAATCTAAAAATTACCTCACAAAGATAACATATCCTTGAGTAAAATAAAAATCACTTTGATTTATAAAAACAAAATGGTTGATATAGATCTTTTCTATTTTGGAAGAAATATCATAATTGTCAAGTCTATACTAATGATATTAGCAGATATCTCCAATCATTAAATATTAAATTTTTATAGCTGTACATAAAATTTGATATAGTTCTTAGAGATATTACGTAAATGAATTTCTACGACGAATGATCTTGTAAGTGAATTTATAGTATCTTCCTATATAAACTTTCAGCTGGTGCTCAATGAGGCATATAAACGATCAGTACAGAGACGTTGTAACTTCATAAATAATCACATATTACTATTTTCTATAAGAATAATAATAGCACTATACATTCTCATATTATAATCATAATCCAACAAAAATTATTTTACATTAAATTAAATTTGCCAGATAATTGCGTAGACAATTTAAACTACAAAGAAACTTTCTACCGACTGGATCTCCTTTATAATATATTATTTTCGTTCAGAATATGATTTATATGTATGTTCAAAAACTATGAAAACCGTGAAATCTATTTTGTGCAATAAATAAATAAACACTCGTAATAAGTCATATAATTGATACGTTCGTATTATATCAATCTCGGTTTTAATAATATACAAAACATAATTGTTAGTGTTAAATTGAAAAAGTTTAATAATTTTAGCTTCAATAAAATAAAAGATAGAAATCGATAACTACATATTTTTCATATTAAGTTAATTTAAAATTAATTTGAATTTAATTTGATTTCTTTAATTGTTAAAATAAACAAAATTGAACATGAAAAAGTTACATGGTCAAGTATTTTGGAGTATTATAAATTCTAAAATTTTGCAAAATTTAAAATAAAATATTTTTTAAAAATAATTATATCTAAATGATAATCTTTAGTACTATCTTAATTTATCTTAATTTATTATCGATAAATTTCTTTAAATTATTGGCATCCGTTTCTTTCATTTCGCATCTTAATGTGTTATTCATTACCATTACAAAAAGAATAAATAATATCACACACACATACACACACATATACGCATACACACACATACACGCGCATACATATATTAAATATTGCTTGCAGAATAAGTTTGTTGATATTCGTGTTCCTTTCAAGGTTGATCTTGATTCTTAAGACTGACAAGCCTATCTCTAAGATTAGTACGAAATGGTTGTCACGATACACGACTTTGTTCCGTGAATACTCGTGTGCGATGAAGAAACTATTGTCATTTAGATGGATTAAAAAGTAAGTAATTCAATCGTCAGAATTCCAGAAAATTCGTCAAGATTCCTTATTAAAATTTGATGTAGAAACATAAATGTATTTCTCAATAAAAGACGTCAAAAATATTTCTATTAACCATAATTAAAACTCGTGATTTAGCAATGCATTTACTACTATAAGAATGAAAAGATGCAAGTTATTAATTTTTTTGCTGCCATATAATGCACATTAGATTTCTCTTTCATTTAGAAGAGTGTTAATCATAAAAACATAATTTTTTTTTAACAACGTATTAATTTATTAACAACGATATTTTTTCACGTATTATTATTACTTGAGATTGATAGTTGTATTTTTATCACAATCCCTAATCTTTGATATCAGCCAGTGAAATGGCAAGAAAGGGGAAGGGAAGAGAGAAGCGTTAACGAGAATGCGAAATGATTCACGTCATGAAGTAATAGACGCCGTTGTTCTGTGATTCGTGTAGAACGAATCATCGGGGAAAGTGCAAGTTCGCAGATACGATCGATCTTGCGGTCGCGCAGCAATTGCCATGGATTCATCATGGTACAATTCATCGATTTTCTATCGGTTTTTGTTCTTGCCTCTGTTTCACGATACGATTCGTCCTACTGACATCAGAAACCTTTATTATTTGCTTCTCAAAAATCTATGCGCAGTAGATGATTTCTTTAAAAAAATTTCAAATTTAATTAGCTTTCTAATGAAACTAATAAAATATCGATGAATTAAAGAAATTTATCAATATTAAAATAATATTACAGACTATCAAATATGATTACCAAATGTCTAAGATTTATTTAAAGTTTACAAATTTTATAGTTTTTAATATCCTAAAGTATATTTATGTATGTAATGTTTTCATATTTAACTTTGTTCATTTTAAAATTTTGAATTTAATTTAATTAAAAATTAATTTTTAATTACATTTTTTAATTTAAATTAAATTTAAAATAATCGAAATAAAATCTATTTCTATTTTTTATTTTACTGAAACCTAAAATCAATGAAGTTTTGGTAAATACATTTTATCTTCACTATGTTCTTTTTTTCAACTCATAATGACAAACAAAATGCTATTAATATTATAATATAATATTCCATTTTCATTCGTTAAAAAGTTTTTTTAAGAAAATGTTAAGTTGTACATGGAAAAACAAAACGTATGATTGTTCAAAGAAATTTTGATACGAATAACAATACTGATAATTTGTATCTTAATCCAATATATTATTATGGAAAATATTACGCATAAATGTCAGAGCAATCGAAGAATCTAAAATTCATCGATAAATCAAATGTACTATCAATAAAATTAAAAGTATTTGGGCAACAAAAAAACATGTACTCAAAGATAGAATGCAATTAGAATGCTAAGTCATTTCAAAATAAATCTCAGATATTCTCATTTCTTTTTCTTTTTTCAGAACAACCACACGGTCGGACAGGGATGTACAATCCACGTCGCCGATGCCGCAAGACGGCCGCAAGTACGTGCGCATACCTGCTCTTGCATATCATTTAAATATAAATGTTTGCATATCTATTCACAATTATCGTAAAAAGAAAAGAGGCTTATATCTTGATTTATGTCACAAAGTATACCACACGTAAAAACATTTATTCAACTAGCAAGTATAACAAGAAGATCATTTAGAACTCTTGTTGGATCTTATTTTGAGCAAAAAAAAATTAAATTTTTCTGGGCTCTTCTATGCTTTTAATGAAATTCGAAATTATTACAAATAATTACGCATACAAAGGCGCTTTCAGCAGCCATTTTCGTAATATTTTTCAAAATACATATTAAAAATTATGATTATTATTTATCGTTGACAAATTTTATTTTAAGAAGTAAATTTTTGGAAAAACATATTTAAATGAAAATATCACAAGTTTATTCAATATGTTATTAAAATACAAGCATATAACATTTTTGATAATTTTATATAATTTTTAAATAATCTCGATTTATTTTAATTTCTCTAATTTAATTTGTATTTTTTTATAAATCTGTTTATGTACTTGCAGAAAAAATATATAATTAATTAAATTTTATTTAACAATTAAAGATAATACAAGTTCATCATATAGTATAATATTTTAATATATTTTAATGTTAATATTAATATTTAATGTTAATATTTTAAATGTTAGGATGCACAATATATTTGAAAATAAATTATAAATGATACAACTACTGTGAGCTACATTCACAATATTATATACGAATCTTTTCCATAAATTTACCTCTTTTTACATCATGTTGATTTCTTTTTTATCAAGAAAATCAAATATCTAAAAGATAAAGAAATTGACATACCCTCGACGCGTTGAACGCCTTCCTTAGTGTGGTTCCTTTATGTTAATTGTCCATAGCACGCACATCACTGTTATCTCCATTCGAATTATTTGTCGCCCGTATATTTTAGTTACACATCACGAATCAGGGATCAAATTCAGATATAAATCGTATCTTGAATTTTTACACTGAAAGAAGAATACTTTGAATCAATTTTTCAGATATTTAGATTCGCTAATATCGCACATACACATATTCTTATAACAATCTTAATAAATTTATTAATTCAAGACACGTTAATTGTGTCTACGATATGTTTTCAGACTTAAAAATAAAAATAACTAATCTTCAAATGACAGATTTTTAGTGGTTTTAACAGTCTAAGGGAGATTATTATAAAATAACAATATTTGATTTCTGTAGTGATCGTAAATCAACTATCTGAATACCTCGAGCTTATCAATGATTCTCAATTTACGAAACAAGCAAGATGCCAATTATAAATAATAATCTCGGTCTCAATAATCGAAATTAATTCATAAAGATAATCACAAGATAAATTGCGACATTACTATCAGTACTTCGCGTTTTCAATTTCTGAAACTGTGAGCAATTATTGATGACTAAATGTCCAATTCTTTTCTAGTTTAGATTAATTTAATCTCAATTTATAACTCACTTTATATCTTTTTCTAATTCTAAAAATTAGAAATTAAAGAAAGAGTAAAATCGAAATTAAAGTTACATTAAACTACATTAGTAGAAATAAAAAGTAAAAATATTAAACGACAATGTACATACTTGTGACTATAACAATCGCATATTAATTACACAATCTCTTGTTTTTAATCAAAATTATGCCAGCAATGATAACGATCAAGAGAATAATATTCGTGATCACTGCATGCACAAACATGCAGCCAATTATTACGGATATACATATCAATAATTGCACAAATTAATTATCACGTATAAATCTGCATTTAACTAACTCATGTAAAGCATGTATGCCATATTCGTATATTTGATTCTATCATCGCACGAAATACACTTGAAGAATCTGTCACTTTCGTACCAAAATTTCGATATTACAAGAGTTTTTTAGTCACCAATTACATCTAAATTCCCAAAATCCATTGCTGTTCACGATGCTTGTCGCATCTGACCGAATTTCAACGAGAATAACTTCGAATCTGCGCTTTCAAAACGAGAATTTCACGACCGATACATTGGGCGTCCATGGACGCCTTTACGTACGCCTTTGTGTACGCAGCACGTCACGTATGTGACGTATGTACAATCGCGAAGATAAAATTAACTTTATAGATTAACACTACAGATTGATTTAAAGATACGCAAGTTGGTAGATGGGGTGCTCAGAACACTCAAAAAAAATTTTAATTTTAATATTAATATAACTAGAAATATTTTTAATACTAGTAAATTCTGTTATAAATTTACATTAATTTACCTCAATGAGAAAAATGCAAAAATAATAATATAATAAACTTTTCTGGATATCTGATCCAATACCTTTTACATTCCTTTTCCAGAACAAGATTTTATAGAATATTACAGAGTGCCTGCCTTGGCGAAAATTAAAGTGGAGTATATAAGTCAAATATGAGAGGAGAGGAACAGAAGCATAAATGAAGCTTCTAAATGGTGAAAATTGAAACAATGAAACATTACTCTTCCCTTAAATTCGGCTTACGCTTCGATTTCGATCTTCGGCCAGAATGGCTACTCCACACACTGCGCACATTCTAGTCACATAAGGATTAAGATGGATCTACGTACCTACGCGAATCCTCGAAAGGCTATTTCGACGCATTACCCGAAACCGATCGTCGTCTGGCTCTTCTCGACCTCGTCCGCATCGTAATTCTGCACAAATTCGACCACAAATCCGCCGCCGATTCTTCAACCGTCTCCGCCATTCGAATTTGTCCGAACTGATAAAATGACATGCGAAGTTGCAGCTTCACTACCCTCTTTGTTCCACTCACGTCGTTCGCGCCAATTTCGTTCGCGCGGGAAATCGTTCCATATCTGAAATAAACGCGTATCGGAATCCGCTGATCTCCACACCGCGGGGCGATCGTTTGTGTCAATCGCGAATGCTGATAACGAATGTGCAGCACCCTCGAGAGTCAGATTAAGGGATAAATAACGCGGCAAGGGAACTGAAATTTGTCCTGCCGCCGACATTTTTTTCGCGCGCTTTTTAACGCCTCGATTGCAGCGGCCAATCACAATCCCGTATTCCGAGACAGCGATCTCTGTGTGATGACGGGTTAATTATTATGCATATTCTTATGCCCTCTCTAGTAAAAGTAGAAAGTATTTGAAACGTAAGGACGAATCGACATAAACACAAGTGTCATAAGTGTACTTGTGTTGATATCTGAATTTTTGACAATTCTTACTTCGCATCACTCTTCTTACTTCGTATCCTTAATTTGTTGAACTTTCGTATGAAGGTACTCATAAATATACTCATTAATTGGTAAATTTTACTTTATTGTATACTGTACTGTATTGCAACGAGAGAATCTTTATCGAATTTTTCTTTCTACTGTCTTATACGCATGCAAAAGAGACAACTAACTTGCGTATTTTTTCACAGTAAATACGTTTCTGCAAGCGACGATTTATGATGAAAAGTGATGTCAATTCTACGATTAGTTATACTCGCTTTATAAACTGATTGACGTTCATAACGCCCAGTTATGCAAAAATTTATGTAAAGCGCCAGAGATTAACTTGCTTTGTCATATGGAAAATTTCGAATTTTCCACTGACAGTGGGACTCTCCCACGCATGATTCCCCGCTCTTTCAGGTATATTAGTTTACTGTAAGAACTCTGAGAAGAAACGATATATCAATAATTAATGCCCGTATTTATAGTCAGGCCGTATTTAAGGCTTCCTTAAATTTATATTCGGATACTCTACGAATTGTGTATACAGCTGCTGAGCATTTAAAGATAAATTTAAGAAAGACTTAAATACAAGATCTGACTAAGAATACAGGCATAAATGTACTTTCCAACAAGCGATATAAATGACACATTGGATCATTACATCCTTATTGTTTACAATGTTAAATACAATAAAGATGACATGATCACTGTGTCGCTTGTTGGAAGGCACTAAATAATTTATTTATCTTTGACACTCAAGGAAATTTTCTCTGAAGATTATGTATCAAATCATACTTTTTTAGACTTACTTCTACTCTAATTTAATTAATCTTAGTAATTTTCAATTAACCTGATTGTTGATTATACAGTCATAAATGTAATATTTTTTAGATTGATAAATTTTTTAGTTTAAATTTTTTATTTTGTTCTTTAATCTCCTTTAGACTTTCATTTATTTTGATCCACAAGTTTAAACTAGTTATAAAAAACAAATATTAAATCTTTTTATGTCTAAATTTTCAGCTCATAGAATTTTTCTAGCGATTAGATTCTCATTAGACATCAACATTTTTTTAGATTAATTCTGATTGTAAAATGTTCAGTTTCTACTTCATAATTTGAAAATTTGAATATATATAGCATTGCTCTTTATATTTTATTTTATAATTTATATTAAGTTTACTTAGTTTATTTTGTTTTCCATCAGTTTATATACTTATAAACTTATAAGATTCAAAAATGATTTATATAAAAACGAATAAATCCATCAATGTATACTTAATTGCATAGCAACCTATATTTGCAATGTAACGTTTAATGTATATATCTGAAAATTACAAAGTCGGTTACACGCACATTTGCATAATATACATGATACGATACTGCTTGTATTATGATGGTTGTTGTCACATTTCGTTTCCTCGGTTATGCGAATAATTGTGTCTGGTGCATGTCTACTTTTTTCTTTTCAATGAAATATTGCTTCATTCCTGTCGTATTGTAATTCGTGCAAAGTAATTATGAACAATGTTTTCAGTATAATTTGGTAATTTTTGCTAAATCGTGTAAAAATTATCTCCGCGAGCGAATAAATTTTCAAGTGACAATATAATTTTATTTTATAAACTTATTCTTTTTAATTAAACTTTTACACAATTTAGAATTGCTCCACCTTTCGGTAAACTTCAACTTACTGTCTTGCTCTCTTATGCTCTTTTACTCTTTTGTTTATCCAATAGATTTACCACACAGTTTATTGGAAGATGGACAACTGGTCCTTATTTTTCTTTCTTGTCTCTTCATGTGAAAAAAAAATGATCCATAACACAAAAAGTGGCATTTTTTTCTTTAGTGATATAGCTTTCAGCTAAATCTACTTGCATCTGATAAAACTAATCCTAAGTTTCCTTGCAGTGAATATTGCCGAAATTTATTACAACAGTTTGCGAATCATTGTCAAACATCTAATGGAGAGATCACCGATCCGGACTGGGTTGTCTATTTATCCAAAGAGCAGAACGCTGAGCAGTCCGCTCTAAAAGACAATCGAAAGCTGGAAATACACGGACACTTTATCCCAGGTGTGCCACACATACGTTCTGCTGAAATATTCGAGATTGGGTGTATTGCAGGCACAGAGAACAAATGTCTCGAGTTGGTTTCTGCAGAATGGAACAATACAAAAGTGATGTTAAAGAGGCATGTTTTGTCAACATGTCGGGATGCTATAAAAGCAGACGTAGAAATCCTTAAGTAAGAGTCATTCTATCACGTATTGAAAACAGTGAATACATCCAAATTATTCGTTTTTAAAATAATAAAGTGTACAAAGAATTAGCCAGCTTCATGCAAGATTCGTTTCTTAATTTTAGAAATCATAATTATTAGAAAGAAATATCTCTTCACAATTTTCTAATACTTATTATATTTCTGTAGTAAAAACAGTATTTATATAATTCAAGTTTGTGTATACATATATATTATTAATTAATATATTTTATGATTAAAATCCTTTCCCTATCTTTTTTTTTATTTTAGTTTTAGTTTTTATAATAAAATTTTTTCTGATTACATCCCTGTATATTTTGTGATCTCTCTTTATATTTTTAATTTTTATACTCTTAGATTTTTTAGATATTTTTCTCTGAAAATTGCTATTGTTATATGTAATTCTTCAATTTATTATAAATATCATATATTAAGATTTATATTTAGATAAATATTTGAAGCTATTTTTAATATTGTATTTATTTATAATGACTGAAGCTATTTTTATTTAAAAAATAGTATAATCAGGACATCCTGTGTGTCTTATATAACATGATAATTTTGAAATTATTAGTGAAATTCGGCATCCTAATATATTACTGCTGATGGCTACAACATACACAAGCGAGCATGGTCTCGTCTCAATCTTCGAATCCATCGACTGCTCATTGTACAATTACATGCACGAGCAAGGCGAACGAATAAACGTACAAGGAATCATGCAAATCGGTATAAAATTGGCGGACGCATTAAAATATTGTCATATGCGAGGATACATACACACAGCGATTAGCTCACACTGCGTTTATTTTGCAACTGATACGACTGTCAAACTTGGCGGTTGGGAACTGGCTAGAGAAATGGAAAAAGTATGTGGAATTTGAGTTTTTTTATGCCTTACTATATTCTCAAAATATTAATATATAGTTTTAAAATATTTCATGTAAACGTAAATCATATTATATTAAATATCAATTATTTTAAAGTACGAATCTGTACACATATTTTTTTATAAACGATCTAAATAATTTGCTAAAATATAGAATTTATATAAATTTATAAGATATTTTGCTACAATACATGTAATATATGTAGCAAAATAAATATATATAATAAATTGTCATATATACATCTATGTATTTCTATATTTCCGCGTTATATATATTATTTAAATGATGTTAACATATCTTAATTGACTTTATTATTCCTTAATGAAACAATAGATATGCATATTTTTTTATTCACATCAACTTAAGTACACGACAAATACACTTTTACGTGTTTAAAATGATTTGTTAGCAGATTTAAAAAGTTCACAGACAGACTAGACTGTAATGAAACGGATCACGTCATATCCGCGATTCCATGACACACCCAAGAGCGTTTCACCAACGGAAACGACTGGCATTGTTTTCAACAAAATGTTCGTTTCTGAATAAATTCGTTGTACCGTGTCGATGCTAATCGCATGCGCCGTCTGGAACGCGGAACTCATAATCGCAATTAAATATAATAGATTATTTTCAGCAATAAGTATAAGACTATACTTAACATAGAATCACGTCAAAAAAAATCTTATCGCGAAGACAAATAAGAATCAAAAGAAAAAATTTTGAACTACTATATTTATATAACTAATTACTATATAAAGTTTGAATATAAAAATCTAAGTATTAATCATAGTTTTTTTATCTTATCTCAAAAGTCTTGCAAATTTATGTCGCAATTTTTTAATTAAAGATTTATTCCTTATTTAATACATAAAGAATATAAGATGTATAACTCAATATGAAATATTAAAATACATTTTTAATATTATATTTTCCTATAATAACATATTTGCTATTATTTCTTTTGCTTTTAGCCTTATGTAGAACGTGATTTCGAAAAATATTTACGACTAGAGAATTTCAAATGGCAAGCACCGGCGATATGCTACAGACTACAACCCAATAAAAAAATAGATGTTTACTGCTTGATGCTATTACTTTGGGAAATGTGTACAGGCAAGTACATTACATTAATAGTATATACAATATAAAAATTATATTAATATAATTTCCTGTCTTTTAATAACAAAAATAATTAATGTTATGTAATAAGTAATGTTTTTTAAATAAAATATTAAAATTGCATCAAAACAAACTAAATAATTGATAATAGTAATTTAATAATGATTATTATATAAACATTCTATAGGAAATGTACCGTGGAGTGGATATGATCAATCAAATGTAGAACGGCAGCACATGCGAAAACGAGATATTGTTATAAACTTACAGAATGTTCCATCGATTTTCCGTAGTTTACTAGAGGCTGGATTGCATCCTGATGAAACAATGATAATGTTAGACATGGACAGAATAGGAAAAAAACTTCATAGGCTGCTGGTAAATTTGTAATAGATATAATATACAATTATTTAGTAATATAATTTTTAGAATTTGCATAGCTTTTGTCGATTATTTGTTTTTCGTACAGTAATTCTTGGTTCACTAGAATGCGTTGTTACAATTTTACTTATATATATTTTTTTTAAGATGATATATGAAGAAGAAGAGAAGAATGACACGTTTATAAATGAAAACAGAAATAATAATGATCTTTTATATAATGATACACTATATCAAAAGACTTCTTCTATGTCTCTCACGCAAAATAAGGTGTTGACCAAAAAACCATTTACTGGACAATCATATCAGCCTATGGAAGAGAAAAAATCTATGTCCAATCAACTTCTCAAATCTAAGAAAGAGCAATGCAATGGAGACTTGGATTCTAAAAATAATATGAAAAAAATGACTGTAATCAATGATAGTGTCGTGAGTCCCATGATTAAGGTAGAGACTACCACTCCTTGCACTCGTTGTGCAGAAATTTCAAATATAGTACAAGATCTTGATGAAAGGAATGATGCACGTGCTAATATAAAACGATTAAAAAAATTGATAGCTAGTAGAAGGGAAGACTTTTTCTTTGGAAGCGACTCCACCTTTTCTTATTCAACTTCATGTAAGTAAAATTAATATATAAATTTTGAATATATTTATATTTACTAACATTTTTATGTTTAACATTTTTACATTTATAGTTACATTATATCTCTGTTGCAAACAGTTATTTTACAAATTTAATTAACTTAATGCGACGTTACATATTAATTGAAATAAAAATGTCAAAATGTCGATAATTGTATTGAGACAATCGAGAAAAATATATTAAATGGATATAATTTAGATTTCTTTTTATTCTCTATACTACAAAATCTTGTAGCATTTTAATTATTCTTATAATTTTGTATAGATCCGAAAGCTACAAGCTCATTATTGTCACAAGAAAAAAGTCCTGACTATGTACCATGTAAACCAGCTAATCATACAACTGCTATAGAACCTAAATGCAATAAGTCTCCTAGTGAATATAGTGGAGCTATTTCAAAATTATGTACACCACGGCGAAAGGTACTTTATTTCGATCAAAATTTTATTAGTGATGCATACATAAATCAATATTTGTCTAAAATATATTAGTATATTTTTATATTTTTATATTAACTGTAATATACAAATATGAAATTTGAGTGAATATATATACGCGGAATATAATAAACATATACACAGTAATATTTATTAGTTTACTGATATAAATTATTTTCCTCTTACAGGCACCATACACGGGTATGCCTTCCAGTATTAAATATGCAATAATGCAGCCTCAAGTTTTGCATTCTAATGCTAAAAGCTTTTATGAGTCAACATTATGGAGAAAAGAAAAAGAAATTTGCTTATCACGAATGGGACGCAACAGTAAAGAACACAGTGAAGTATGTACATAATATTATATTATATTAGTTATATTAGTTATTATATTAATTATGTATTATTTCAAAACTCTTAAGTATATTTATTTTATTATTTTATACTTTTAGGATTCCTTACTATCGCAACAAACAATTTGTTGCAATACTTCTATCACTGATGATGATAAAGTACAATATTCCACACCACATGTAAAAAATGCTGATACTACATATATAATTGGAATTGAGAAAGGTAAATCAAGAAAGATCGATTCATTTTTCAAAATTTGTGATATTAAATATTAATATAAAATTAATTTTATTTATGTATTTTATATAATTTTCCATTCCTAAATAAATTATTTATTATCATCAAAGATAATTGTACTGAAGATGACAAAAAGTCATTAAAAAACGTGAGTGATGGCACTTCCGCAAACATTTCAATCACTTCAAATCAATCCATACAAAACTTAAAGGATGCCCTCGATCGTGCCACGGAAATAATAAGTTCAACAACATCTTCTAAAGTAGACCTAAATAATATACAAGAATGCAAAGCTGTATTTGAAAACTTGTATGGAACAAGATATAATGACAATCACGAGATCAAAGTTATCGAAAAATCGACATCTAGCAACAGGAGTTTTCTAGATCTTTCAATGGATGAAGTTAAAAATATAAAAACTGTTAACGAAGCTGCCGGAAAACAAATCTTCAATCAAGCTTTCATAGATAGCCAAACGCTCAATTCTACGACTACAAAAACATCAATTGAATCTGAAACATCACAGAATCAATCCACGAAAAAAACTGATCAAAGTAAGATAACATTTGCAAATAGGAATATCTCAACCCCGCAAAAAATTAGAGTAGATGAAAGAGAATATGTTAACATACGTCCTATAAGTAGTATTATACTGAAAGATTCACCAAGAAGGCGTTCTCTACCTGCAAAACTGAATAATTTGGCAACATATGGCTCCCCAAGAACTGTTTTAAATAAAAAAGTAAGTAGACAATTTTAAATTTTATACACAAATCATAATATTTATGACTAAATTGAAATTATAATTTGTTATAAATTCTACTTTTAATTTTTGTAAACAAGTAAATGTTTGTATACTAATAAAATTGTTTATTTGAACTTTTTTACAGAACATACAAGGCAACCAATATACGACCGAAGATATGTACATTGATGATGAATTTGGAAGTAAATTAAATTACAACCTAATTCTTTTAAATGATAACATTATTCTAAGCGACGATGATGAAAGTCTACCTCAGACCACAGAACTGTAAACTGTGATGAACTTAATGTTTAATCGTTCTCTATGTGTAAAAAAAAAAACGTTCTTAAATAATTTATTTTTATTTATTTTGCCGACAAAATCAATGCTTCTATTATCGCCATTCTGATGACATGATCAATACCAATAATATCTAATTTAATATCTAATTTAATTCGTTAATTCTAATTACTTATTTGTATTTACACAAAGGCAAATAATCTAATATTATACAAAATGTTTATTACATATAATTGAATAAATATAATAAGTAAAAAATTACTTCATTATTGTTCAATAAATTAAGAACTTGTACATATATAAATTGGTTTAAATTCGTTCTTTAATAATCATTTAAATAAAATTAAAAATATCTATTTTATGTTATTCTGTCATAAAATAAATGACAGAATAACATAAGAAAAAAAGTATTTTTACAAATTTATTATACAAGTCCCTTAAAACATTTTGTATATATTTTGGATTATTTGCCGAATCTAAATATACCTTGTTTCATCTAACATGCACAATTATATTGTGCAATAATATAAGAATTATAAATCTTGCATTTATTTTTTTATAGAAGTTACAATTGTAGATAAAAAATATCATTCTTCGTTAAAATAAATATAAGAAAGTTAAATATATCTCAGCACAATCTATTTTGTGTATACATGTCCAATTTTAGTATATTACATATATTAATCATTGCGTTGTGTAACTTTTAAGCACAGTCATACTCTGTCTGCTATTTCCCTAATTTCTGCAATTTCTCAAACAAAAATATTAAGTTTTATCGAACAAGAACAAAACGTTTTATTTTCGAAAGTATGGCATTTACTGAATACCTCATCATTGCCAAAATATTGAATTCTTTTCAAAAGCAAAATTTGTTACGCAGACATAAATTTATAGAGCCAATCCAAAAACAGATACAATACAATACATAGTTTTATTTTCCCAGCGCACTGTGCAACTGCCATCAGTAGCATTATCCCAGTAACATGAACTTGCAGTATGAAGTCCAGCTCCGTTTTTCTGCATGATTGTGCAAGTCACTGCAATTATATACCTCAATATCAAAGAGATATAAAGAAAAATATTTCAAAACATATGTAAAGAACAATGTTAATATAAAGTCTCTTTCTTAAGATGAAAATTTAGTTTTACAAACCGATATATTTATAGGCCTTCTGTAATTTTGTAAGATTGCCCAAGCAAGCCTCTACCACGTTCGAAGTCCATTGATTAACTTTATTATGCTGATAAGTATTGCCACCTATTGACACTTCAATTGCTTCCTTGATAATGGTGCTCACATCATCTACCACAAATTGCAACTAGAATCATAACAAAAAAACATGAATCTTACATAAAGCAATAAAAATATATTAATTTATTCAAGCATATTTTATTAATATTTTAATATTTAATGTTTTAGTGAAAATAAATAAATACATCTGGATGAATATGGCTTCAGAATCAAATCTTTAATGAGAAAAGATTTACTCCTAAGTTTATCACAATTAATTAGGAGCATCCTATACACTGCATACATGCTTTAAAATTATCATAAAACAATAAAGAAAAAATCACTGATTTATTTAATTTTAATTTCTGTATCAAGCATTGAAGCTTTGTTATTTAATTCAAAATTGAGATTTTTCGTTTAAAATTATAAAGAAATATACATAACTAACCTCTTCTTGCGCATCTTGCTCCATCTCGAACAAACACTAGATTATTTCAGACCAAAAACAATTTTCGTAATAATTTAAAGCTTATTATTCATTTAATTACGGATGATTGTTAGGTTTAGCACTGAAACATGGAAATATCGCAAAATCTGATTTGTTGCAATAACGTAAAATTTCGGAAAGTCTATATACGTGATTATCTTAATTTCCAGGTCTAAGGTCTGCTATTATTTTTCACCTTGATAGCAAGAATATTACACTAACAAGAGCTGATCGTTACACTCGTCACGTTTGTTTGAAATTATCTTCTAAAATATCGCGACATCCATCTGTAAATATAACAGCAGTACACAGCAGTAGTCAATAATTCTGAACCGTCACATCGCCACCATCGCCGGTTATTGTAGGTCTGTTCTTTAGTTAGGTCTGTTTTTTATTGCTGCACTATCTGAACTGGTGCACACGGTGCAATAAGTAGAAGTGAGAGAAACTTGAGAGACCATGCCAGCTTTTTTCCTTGTTTTTCTTTGTTTTTATATTTTTATGCACTATCATCGGGACGTTACCGTGTTTGATAAAATCATATTAAAAAAAAATACTATATTTTTTTATATATAATAAAAATGTGTCTAGATATGTATATATATATTGCGTTATTTATTCCTTATACAATTTCATATATCAACTTTTAAAAATAATACAAATACACTATTTAAAATATATTTCAGTATCGTTTAAAATTACACATATATAAAATTAATTATATGTATATTATATACATTACATATGCGCGCGCACATATGTGTGTGTGTGTGTGTGTGTGTGTGTAATTATATTATATACATTATATAGTGTGTATAATATATATGCGCGCGCGCGCACACACATCACACACATATGTATGTATAGATATACATATATAACATATGTTTCATTAAAAAGTTATTCCTATAAATTTTATATAATATAGCATATTTGTTATAAGTAAAATAAATTAAATAAATATTATATTATATTATATTATTATAAATATTATTCAAATTTTAGTATTAGAATATCCAAATATTAATTTACCGTTAATTTTTTATGATTAATTCTCTAAAAATAATTCGAATTCTTGAGTTATGATGTATAATATTATATTTTAAAATCTGTTTTTTATTCTCGAAGTTAATAGCTCAGATTTCTATTAATACATTTTCAGATTTTGTTCTCTGGACATTAATATTTGAATCATTCAAATAATTCGAATGTTTTTAAGTAACAATAATTACATCGAATGATTTGAATATTATAATATTTGGATATTTATAGTCCTAATACGAACATTACATCAGATGTATAAAAAATTAATATATAGAACAAATTCAACCATTTGTAATGTACATAATAATTAATTAACATATTAAATGAATAATAATACAATTAATAAACAGCATGCTTATTAGAAAGTCGATATTTGATTCGTCAAATGTGGTCATTCAATAGTTCCACTTAATAATTAGTTGAAGCTGCATCTCGTATTGTATCCACGTATTGTTTTAAAAATCTACAATGTCTACTATATTCAAAATTGAACCTGCAAATATGAACAAAATAATTACCAGATTAAAAAGTTGGAATATATATTGTGATTAGTATTACAAAGTTAAATTTCTCACTCAAGTACATTATTTCATAATCGCATTAAAGCTAGAATTCTTATTATTTAAAATATTTAAAAAATTGAATGTTTAGTATCAAATACTATGGAAATGAAAAATACTTGACTCTAAAATTACTCCAATAGATAAACTGCCTGAACAGCCATCAGTTATGAAATATTTAAATATTAAGTATATTATAGTAAATTTGTATTATTTGACCATGATATTTATTAAATGGCATTAACTGAAATATTAATAAGATTTAAAAAATACATTTTCAATATCAGTCAAATACAATATCAGTCAAATTTTTATAATCATTATAATAAACAAATACTAAATATTTGATTTCTTATGTGTTCATTATATATAAGTGCATATTAAAGGGATAATTAAAAAAAAGAATAAAACAAGCATTTGTAATATTTACCAATGTCATTTTTTTAGTTTTTTCAAATGCGAATGTGTCTATTAATCTGATGAGAAGTTACTTGTTATTTTCTTCTGATTAATGATTCGTATTCATGTCATTTCCTCCAGTGTGTGTGTGTAGCTTTTTTTATTTATTCCATGTTGGGACAAGTGATTCTCAAAATAATGTAATTTATATTTAAATATGTCGAACGTATTACAACAAATCTTACATTGTGATTTGTCATTTGATGTATTCAATATGAAGTTTTCCGATATCCATGAACGTTTAAAGTTGTTTCGTATTTTCTTAATTATTAGTGGATGTTTTAGTTTCATATGTCGCTTTAAATAGTTTAACTGAAATCCATATATAAGACAAGAATTACAAATTTTACATTTTGAAGCGTATCTTCCTTCCTTTGTGAAATATTGACATATTAAGTCACTTTCGTTATTTTGTTTGTTTATTTCTTTGTCAGAACATATTTGATGAGCATAAAATAAATGTACTTCCAGTACGTTTAAATTCTTCCCAAAATAATTTTTATGGCAAATGTTACATTGTACTCTATAATTTTGAAATTTAGTATAATAATGACATATCCAACTTTTATTTTGTGTATTTCTTTGTATGTTATTTTCTCCTTTAGTACTTTTTTTATTCAAGCCATGTTTGACCAAATGGCATGCTAAATCATCTATATCATTTTGCAATACATTAAACGAGTAACAACAAATCTTGCACTGTAGTTTATCATTTGATGTGTTTAATATGAAGTGTGTCGATACCCAAGAATGTTCAAATTCTTTTTGTATTTCTTCTATTATTTGTGGATGTTTACATTTCAGATGCAACTTTAATTTCTGTACCATATATCCACTCAAAAGAGATGTATCACAAATCTTACATTTTAAAATATATCTTTCTTCTTGTGTGAAATAACGCCATATTGGACCGTTTTTAAGAATTGTGTCTCCATCATGAAATATTTTATGAGCACGAAATAAGTGTACTTTTAATGTTAATATACTGTATGCAATATAAGAACAAATCTTGCATTGGAATTTGTTATTTTTTAAATTATTAGAATGTTGTCGTATCCAACTACTTGGCATATTCTTTTGAAGCGCCATCACGTCTACACAGTATCTGAGAGTATACTAAACATGAGAATATTTATATCATATAAACATGAGAATGTTCATACCTAGTTTAGAACATAAAGAAATGTTGACGAAGGTCGAATCTTGACAGCGAAAATATCAAATCGACATCGAATCGACGTCGATTCCATTATCATTTCTGATTGGGGAATAAAGCATTAGGCATAAGAAAATCCAATCAGGGTGCTTTATTTGATGGAAAGGAAGGAAATAAAGGATTTTAATTGGTTCATTTTCTTACACATTATACCATATGCGTTATGTTTGCTTTTAACTTAAATCCTTGTGTGCCGAAATCCATCCGAAATTTCGGACAGGGAAAAAATTAATTGCATTGGTCATGTGACAAAATTTATCAAATGTGATTTGTTATTTCTTCCTCTATCCTAATAGCTCAGATTTAAATTAATATATTTTCAGATTTTGTTCTTCGGACATTAATATTTGAATCATTCAAATAATTCGAATGTTTTTGTAGTAACAGTAATAAAGAGTAACAATAATTATTTCGATTGATTTGAATATTTTAATATTTGGATATTTATAGTAATGCAAACATTATATCAGATGATAAAAAATAAATATGTAGAAAAACTTAACTATATGTAACGTACATAATAATTAATGAACATAATAAATGATTAATAATACAATTAATAAACAGCATTCTTATTAGAAAGTAGATAATTGATTTGTCAAACAGTGGCAGTTCATTTAATAGTTCCAGTTAACAATCGGTAAAACTACTGACGCTTCTCCACACATTGTTTTCAAAATTTATTGGAATCTTTGCTGTATTCTATTCAAAAGTGAATCTGCAAATACAAACGAAATAAATAGTAGATTAAAAAATAGGAATATATAGTTGTGATTAGTATTACAAAGTTAAATGTTACATTCAAGTACATTATTTTATAGTCGCATCGAAGCTGGAATTCTTATTATTTAAATATTTAAAAAATTTAATGTTTAGTATCAAATATTATGAAAATGAAAACTTGACTTTAAAATTACTCCAATAGATAAACTGTTTGAATAGTCATCAGTTATTAAATATTTAAATGTATTTTATTATAGTTATTATAATAAATTAAGTATATTATAGTAAAAACGTTATAGTAAATTTGTATTATATTATTTGATTTTAATATTGATTAAGTTGAATTAACTGAAATATTGATAACATTCATAAAACACATTTAAATATCAAGGTCAAATTTTTATAATTTTTATGATAAACAAATATTAAATATTTGATTTCTTATATGTTCGTTTTATATAAGTACATCCTAAAAGAGTGACTAAAAAAGGATAAAACACAAGGATTTGTGATATTTACCGTTGTTATTTTTTTCGTTTTTTCAAATACTAAAATATCTGTCCATCTAATGAGAAATTACTCGTTATTTTCTTCTGATTGATGATTCATATTCATGTCATTTCCTCCAGTATTTTCTTGAAGATTTTTATTTGTGCCATGTTTGGATGAGTGGATCCCTAAATCACCTATTTCATATTTAAGTATGTTAAACTTCCTACAACAAATCTTGCATTATACTATGTCATTTAATGTATCCAATGTTCCGATAGCCACGAATGTTTAAATTTATTTCGTATCTCTTTGTATGTTATTTTCTCCAGTACTTTTTTTATTCAAGCCATGCTTGACCAAATGGCATGCTAAATCATCTATATCATTTTGCAATACATTAAACGAGTTAACAACAAATCTTGCACTGTAGTTTACCATTTGATGTGTTTAATATGAAGTGTATCGATACCCAAGAATGTTCAAATTCTTTTTGTATTTCTTCTATTATTTGTGGATGTTTACATTTCAGATGCCTCTTTAATTCCTCTATCCTATATCCACTCAAAAGAGATGTATCACAAATCTTACATTTTAAAGCGTATCTTTCTTCTTCTGTGAAATAACGCCATATTGGATCGTTTCTACGATTTGTGTCTTCATCATGAAATATTTTATGAGCACGAAATAAGTGTACTTTTAATGTTAATATATATTGTATGCAATATAAGAACAAATCTTGCATTGGAATTTGCTATTTTTTAAATTATTATAATGTTGTCGTATCCAACTACTTGGCTTATTCTTTTATAGTTCCATCACGTCTGCAGGATTTTTTGTATTTTATAGATTGAAAGTCTATTTTAATTATTAGGTGTTGGAATTAATTCGTAGCGTTTTTTTAATGAAAGAATGTTATTTATTTCACATGAGCATTAAAAAATACATTAATGAAAGTACTTCCCATCACTTTCTACTACTTTTGACCATCTTTCGGGCAGTGAATGAATACCGCGTCGGAAGAACTGTTCATCTTTAGATGAAATCCAGGAATCGAACCATTTTGTACAATCTTCGTAAGATGTGAACTTCTGCTCGCACAAGCTATGAGCTAATGATCGAAACAAGTGGTAGTCGGTAGGTGCAATATCAGGAGAATACGGCGGGTGCGGTAGCACTTCCCATTTAAGTGTTTCCAGGTATGTTTTTACCGGTTTTGCAACGTGTGGGCGAGCATCGTCGTGCAGCAAGATGACTTTATCGTGTCTTTCGAAGTATTCCGACCGTTTTTGCTTCAATGCACGGCTCAAGCGCATCAGTTGCCGTCGGTAGAGATCTCCAGTAACGGTTTCATGCGGTTTTAGCAGTTCGTAGTATATGACACCCTTCTGATCCCACCAAATACAGAGCAGGAGCTTTGAGCCATGGATATTGGGCTTTGCCACTGATGTTGATGGTTCGCCG